TTCAGGGAGTGGGGTGTACATGTTGTGTAACTGGGAGCAGGGGATGCCAGGTGCTCAGGGAGTGGGGCGTGTTACTGGGGGTGGGGGGGCGCCAGGTGCTCAGGGAGTCGGGTGTGTTACGGGGGTGTGGGGGGGTACCAGGCGTTCAGGGAGTGGGGCATGTTACTGGGGGTGGGGGGGCGCCAGGTGCTCAGGGAGTGGGGTGTGTTACTGGGGGTGTGGGGGGGGACCAGGCGCTCAGGGAGTGGGGCGTGTTACTGGGGGTGGAGGGGCGTCAGGCGCTCAGGGAGTGGGGTGTGTTACTGGGGATACCAGGCGCTCAGGGAGTGGGGCTGTGTGGGGAAGTACCAGGCGCTCAGGGAGTGGGGCATGTTACTGGGGGCGTGTTACTGGGGGTGTGTGGGGGGTACATAGTGTGTAACTGGGAGCGGGGGGCACCAGGCGCTCAGGGACTGCTGGGGGCGCTGTGCTGGCTCCAAGGGGTGCCGTAGGACTGATACCTAGGGGCCTGCCCTGCTGAGCTGTCTCGGTCCCCCCTCAGGCCTCGTACCTGGATGAAGACGAGGTTTACAGCATGGCTGCCACGCTGAAGCGCATTTCCATCCTCCACAAGTGAGTGCCAGACTGCGTCCCCGTCCCCCCCCAGCTCCGTCTGGGCAGCGGGGCCCGGTCGCACAGCCCTGCCCTGCCCTGCCCTTTCCATCTCCTTGCTGTCTGTTCACATGGGTCCCTTCATCCTTGCCCTGCGGTGGCGGTGGGAGGGGAGTGGGGGGCTAGGACGCCCCCGTGAGCAAGGCGCTCTCTCTTTCTCTCTCTGCAGTGCTCACGACCTGACCCCATGGCAGCTCTATGAGCCCTGCAGCCTCCTCCTCCAGCGAGCTGTGGACACAGGCGAGGTCCCCAAGCAGGTACTGGGGGGGTCTCTCGGGGAGCCAGGAGCCTGGCCCCCCCCCCCGCCAGCAGGGAACCCAGGTGGGGCCTTGCCCTGCCAGGCAGCGTGGGGGGCTGTGGGCAGAGGATGCAATGGGGCAGCTTGGAACTGGGGGGACTGCAGCCCTACATTCTCACTCTGGGCTTCCATTGCAGGTGGTCATCCCCACCATGACCTGTCTCCACTTCGGCATCCTCTGGGAGCTGGCTCGTGTCTCCGGCACCGTCCCTGCGCAGGTGAGGCCGATGGGGAGGTCCCTGCCAAGAAGGGCGGGGTGGGGGTCAGCCCAGGCCCTGCCTCTGAGTCCTGGGGGTTAGGGGTTCCTGCCCCTCACAGCCTCCTCTGCTCCTACCCCAGAAAGAGCTGCTGGCCCTGAAGCGCAAAGTCGCCTCCTTCTGCTCCCTCTGCCAGAGCTGCCTGACCGACGTGGACTCCAGTGTCCAGGAGCAGGTGAGAGGTGGACAAGGGCTGGGAGCCGAGGGCTGGACAGGCCGCAGCTCAGGCGTGCTGGGGAAGGGGGGCTGGGAGCCCCCCAGCAGTGCTGTTTGTGGGGTGCTCATTCTGCCTCTGTCTGTCCAGGCCTTTGTGCTGCTGAGTGACCTGCTGCTGGTGTTCAGCCCGCAGCTGGCTCGAGGCGAGCGGGAGGCGCTGGAGCTGCTGCTGTACCAGCCCGAGGTCGCCCTGCAGTCCCAGCTGGCCGGATTCCTCATGGATCACGTCTTCAACCACGCCGAGCTTGTGGGCAGTGGTGCGTACTCGCCCCATGGGGCTGGGGGGGGCAAGGGCGGGAGAGTGGACAGGCAGGCTGGGGGAAGGGGGCTGAGTAGAGGGGGGGCACAGAGAAATGGGGAGAGGGATCTGTGGGCCAAAAGCCTCACTCCCCACCCCATCCTCTGCAGATGAGGAGGACAGCGAGGGGAAGATTGAGAGGCTACACCAACGGCGCAACCTGCTGGCCGGTTTCTGCAAACTCATCATCTACAACGTGCTGGAGCTGAGCGCCGCCTCCGACGTCTTCAAGCACTACGCCAAGGTGGGGGAGATACGGGAGGGACCCCACGGCACAGGGCGGGGGGCAGGGGTGCACCTACCATACCGAGGGGTGGGCACTGCCTCCAGTGTCTGAACACCTAGAGCTCGGGGTGCGGATCAGGGCGATGGAGACTCTAATCTCTGGGGCTGCGCCCGGCTCCCTGCTGCAGGCGTTGTGACCCACCTGGCACACGGGGCCGCAGCACTGCTCAGGTTTGGCCTGGCCTGCGACTGACCCCTTGTGCCAGGTTGCAACGCCCAGAGTGGGAAGCTGGGCCCAGCCCTGCGGGCAGGCGCCGCCACTGCTGCAGGTGAGTTTTTATTAAAATCCTGACCCCAAAGGAAAGTCACAGCAGCCGTGACAAGCCTGCAGCCCTACTCACCGCTGGCGGTTGGGGGGCCCCACCACCCTGCTCTCCCTTCCAGTTCTACAAGGACTACGGGGACATCATCAAGGAGACGCTGAGCCGGGCGCGGCAGATTGACCGGGATGAGTGGGCCCGCACCCTTCTCCTCAGCCTGCAGCAGGTACCGGGGAGGGGTCCGTGCCCAGTGCTGCCTGGGGGAGAGGGGAGTCCCTGTCACTGATCCATATCCGTGTGTATGGGGTGGGGGGGCTGGGGAGGCCCCTGGGTTGGCCCGTCCCTGTGCGTCTGTGTAGGGAGGTGGCTGGAGGATGGGGCTCGAGCCGCCATGCGGCCCCATGTCTGACTCTCTGCCCCCTGTGCAGCTGCTGACAGAGCTGCTGCTGCAGCAGGGCCCGGAGGCAGTTTACGGCAAGGCCTTCCTGGAGATCCGGGACCTGGCACGGCGCTTCTCCCTGTTCTTCGGCCTGCACCAGCTGCACAACCGCCAGGCGCTGGTGGCCCTGCACAAGTGAGCCGGGGGGCTGGGTGGGGAGCAGAGCAGAGCTGTAGGGGCATGCTGGGAGTCCGGGAGCCTCTAGGAATTGGGGAGGGGCACGCTGGGGTCAGCACTGGACGTGGGGGTGGGATGGCTGGCACTTGGACTTGCAGGGTTTGAAGCCCCCCCCCAGCTTTCCATCTCTCTCTTTCTCTCTCCTGCCCAGGGCTGGGATCAAATTTGCCTTCCAGGAGCCAGAACCCTCTGGCTCAGAGCTGGGGCCCCTCAACCTGCCCTTCCTGGAGGTGCTGAGCGAATTCTCCCCCCGCCTGCTGCGCCCGGACAAGAAGCTGCTGTGAGTGCCCAGGGTGGTGGGCCGGTGGGGGTGGGAGACAACGGCTTTCGGGAGTGCTTGGGTGTGTGTGTGTGTGATTAGTGGCCCCCATGCTGTAAGGGTTAACCTGCCTTTGAGGGGGTCAACAAGCACGTGGACAAGGGGAATCCAGTGGATATAGTGTATTTCAATTTTCAGAAAGCCTTTGACAGTCTGTGGATGTTGTGAAGGCCAAGACTATAATGGTTCAAAGAAGAACTAAAGAAGTTCATGGAGGATAGGTCCATTAATGGCTATTAGCAGAATGGGTAGGAATGGTGTCCCTGGCCTCTGTTTGCCAGAAGCTGGGAATGGGCGACAGGGGATGGGTCACTTGATGATTCCCTGTTCTGTTCGTTCCCTCTGGGGCACCTGGCACTGGCCACTGTCAGCAGACGGGATACTGGGCTAGATGGACTTTTGGTCTGACTCAGTATGGCCATTCTTATGCCTTCCCTCCCACAGCCTGTCCTACCTGGAGCAGACCTGCCAGGCCAGGCTCTCCCCACAGCAGAGAGGGAAGCGCTGGAATTCACTCCTGACATATCGCCGCTCGCTGAGATCCCTGGATGACATGGGCTCCAATGCCAGCCGGATTGCAGCCCCCCGACCCCGGAGGAGACCTAGCTCTGCAGCCAAGAGGAGGCGTCTGGATGGTGAGGGGCAAATGCCACACGCTGCTGCCCCTGCTAGGAAATAGCAGGTGTAACGCTGCCGGCAGTGACTAGTCCAAAGTGTGAGCGCCAGTCTCAGGTCACAGACAGGCCCCTCAGGGACAGGTGGGCTTACCTGTGTGCTAGCTGGTCCCTCACACTCAGCATCACAGCAGCGTTCAGGTTACTGCCACTTCCGGAGGGCCAGTCCCTTCCCCCAGGTCAGTTCCACCTGAGGGCTTGCAGCTTGTAGCCAGGATAAACTGTGTGAAACTGGGAAAGGAAACCAGGGAGTTATTTACAAGGTTAAAGGAAGTCGACAGAGAGCCACACAGATGAGTTACAGTCTTAAGTTTCAAAAGGTAATGAAAGCTGCTATAGTCTGCAAGCTCTGTATGTCCTGTGGGGTAAGCCAGTCATGCCTACAAACGAACACTTCGCCCCAGCGTGCAAGCAGTGTAATCAGTTCCTTCTTGTCAGGAGCTTTATTCCCCTCTGGCCATGTTCTGAGCTGCAAGCTCACCTGCTGGGAGGAGTCCGCTCGCATGACTCTCCTTCATGGGGAAGAGGGCAGAATGGTAGAAGTCTCGTGTCCTCTTGCTGACAGTCCCTAGGGAAGTTCCAGGTGCACCGTCCCAGCCCCTAGCACTAATTAATGTCTCTCTTCTGTCTGGCGGTTTACACAGTCACAGGCCCAAATACAACCATGCAATGTGGGACACCGATGGTACATGTGAGATTAATGCAGGCAGCAGCTCCCAATCGTAAAGTCTAAACCTATTCTTACCATTCTAATACACCTCTACCCCGATATAACGCTGTCCTCGGGAGCCAAAAAATCTTACCGCGTTATAAGTGAAACCGCGTTATATCGAACTTGCTTTGATCCGCTGGAGTGCGCAGCCCCGTCCCCCCCTGGAGCACTGCTTTACCGCATTATATCCGAATTTGTGTTATATCGGGGTAGAGGTGTACCTGTTTTACCAGTACTAGCACACAGGTGAGCCGGACTGCTTCCAGCTGTCAGTGTTCGAATGAGACACGGGCACATTGGCACGAGCTGGCACCTGGGGGGCTGCGGGTCAGGATTGAGGTGCACTGGCAGACCTGGCGGGGGGTGGAGAGCCCAGGGCTGGGATAGCAGGGGCTGTGGGTCAGGATTGGGGGGGCGCCAGCGGAGCTGGGGGGGGAGAGCCCAGGGATAGCAGGGGGCCGTGGGGGAACCCAGGGGGCAGGTAGGGGGCAGGGGAGTGGGGTGACTCTAGGGCCAGGACTGGATCACCTGACCTCTATCTCTCTCCTGTTGCAGACTTGTCTGAGCGAGGGGATTCCAGCCTCCAGCTGAGCAGCCGCCTGGAGACGCCGATGCTGACGTCGACGGCGCTGAAAAGGGGACGCCAGCCGGGCAGCCCGGCGCAGCTGCAGGAAGAGGAGGGGTCCGAGTCGGACTTCGTGCAGAGGTGAGACCCATGGGGGGCAAGGCAGAGCCAGCGGGGATGGGGGGCGGTTTAACCTGTTCTGACCTTGCTGCCCTTTGCAGCCAGCCCTGGTTCAGCTCCCAGCGCTCCCGAGAATCACCTGGGCGGCAGCAGCAGCTCCTGGTCCCCCGGAGCACCTCGAGACTTGGGCTGGGCAGCAGGATGGACCGGTGAGTAGTTTGTCGCTGTCCTGGGGGGCGGCTCTCCCTCTCTGGGCCGGAGCCCCCTTAACCCTGCCCTGTGTCCCCTAGGCTCAGCCTGATGGAGGAAGAGGAGGAGGAGGAGGAGGAGATGGTGATCCAGGCGGAGAGCAGCGACGAGGAGGATGCCCAGGGCCTGGACATGGTGAGGGGAACCCTGGCCCTGCCCCGTCGGGAAGGGCTATTGGTGATGTGTCGAGGGCCTGTGAGCCCCGGCCTGACTGCGGCAGGCCCCTTACACGCAGCCTGCCTGGGGATGACCCTAACAGGAGCTGCGTCCAGCGGGGTGTCCAGGGCCTGGCCCCCCACAGCCGCTTCCCCTGGGGCACTCTCCACCTTGCAGCCAGGACGCTGTCTGGCTTGCTGGTGGCAGGAGGGGCACTAAGGCACTGGTGTTTGCCTTTCCAGCCGCTGATCCGCTCGCACAGCTCCCAGGATGAGCAGTTCCGGGACCTCTTCGACTCCACCATCCTTGGCATCGAGGTGAGCGCAGGGGAGTGTGAGAGCATGTGGGGGGGGGGGCACCTGCCGTGCTGCACTGGGGGCGAGCCAAGTCTCACTGGGAATCTCTCCCCCGCAGGATCCCTGACGTGGCTGGAGCAGGCGGGAGACCACCCCTGTCCGGGAATGGGGCCCTCGCTGGGCATGGCCTTTCCCAGGGAATTACACACCAGGCTGTTTTTCTGTTGCACTTTTATTGCGTCCGGCTCCAGGACCGGGTTCCCAGTGTGGGTGAGCACCCTGGGGAGTCTGGGTCGACGGGTCTAGGCCAGGCTCTGTCGGTGCCCTGGCCGGGCTGCTGTTACACACGTTAGGGGGTTGGTTCTACTCATAA